GGGGTCTCCCAAGGGGGGGGGAGTTTGTGTTTCCGAGCGATAAATCTGAAGTAGCTTTTGGAGAGAGCCACACGCAGAGGGAGACAGGAAGAGCCAAAGACCCAGGGACCAACCCCCTACTCCCCCAGAGGTCAGGTGGGAGGCAGGATAGCAAGAGGTGGGTGGAGGGTGTTGAGAGCCCCGGGAGTGAGTGGTGACTGCCCGACTAGACTAGAGTGAAGAAGACCAGAGAGAGGGGGAGGCAAGGAGAAGGGAAGGACGGGTGGCTCTAGTTAGGGACACCACCGGGGCTGCTGGGAGGGAGAGTGTGGGGACTGGGGGCAGATGGGTGGGCTGACATTAGGTTGAAGGCCTAGGAGAGGGTGAGTCCCGCAGCACCCCGCTGGCTGACCCCCTTCTCTCCTGCTGTCCTGTCTGTCCTGCTTCTACAGGGCTCGCTGCTCCGCCATGGACTGTAGCTGTGTCTCAGACCTTCTCTTCGCCCCGCCTGCCCTGCCGGCTCTCTGGACCCCTGGTAACTGTCCTGTCCATCCATCCCCACAGCCTTTCCCCTTCCCACGGGCTGCACCCTGTTCCTTATCTCCCCTTTTCCTGTCGTCTGTGTTACGCACCTGTGAACCTGTCCGTCTGGGTCTCCATCAGTCCCCGGAATGCAAACCCTTTCATGAGAAACTTGACCAGAAACTTCATGGTCCTCTCTTCCTGCCACCTGCTTGCTGGGGCACAAGGGTTGAGGGGTGTCTTGGAGGATGGGTGAGGTGTCGAGAGGGATGAGGACCGATGGGGCTGAGATGTGGGATTTCTCTGCCATGTACTCCTCCTAGTCTGCACCTACCCTAGGCTAGGCACGAGGGTAGGCGCACAGTTTAAGGAGATGGGTGCAAGGAGGTGGTGCTCAGGCCAGGGAAAGAGGACCTGTTTGGGCATGCAGGGGTCACTAATAGGAGTCTTTGAGACCAACCATTTGGCTGGCTGCGTGGAGTTTCGTTGTGGAGTGTTCCAATGCACCACACTTCAGTTCCTGAAGGGGTCACAGAGGGCAAGTGTCTGCGGGAGGCTGTCTTTGTGTGCACTTGGCTGCACAGACTGGACCACGGAGGCCACGGGAGCAACTCTGGACTCTGCATTTCAGAGTCATGCATGTATACATTTGGCGTCTGCCAGCTTGTGTGCTGTGCCTCGGCTTTGGTGGGGGAGAGGAGGCTGTATCTGTCTCCGGATCCCCATGGCATTCTCAGCAGGTAGTTGAGGTACATTTTGGAGTGTGTGGGTAAATGACCCTGGGCTTGGTTTTTGGACTGTGTCTCCCACTGCTTGGTTCTGGGGCTTGTCTATGTCTGCCTGCCTGCTGTAGCAGGCCCTCTCTCCCTTCTTGTCTTCTGGCTGTGCAAACATGTTAGTGATGCGATGGCTTTCCCAAGGAAGTGTACTATGAGTGTGGCTAGGCCAGTGTCCATCTAGACATGGCAGCGGAGGTGAGAATGGCCCAGGTTAAAATTCCTCTTCCGAGCAGAGTGGTGAGAACTACCTGTCCTTCCCAAGGTAGGGCATCACCTGCGCACTTATATCAGAGGGCAACCTGGGTGAGACTCTGCTTCTCCTTGACTCCTGCCTCTGGAACCAGAGAGGGCAAGGAACATCCCCCTGGCTGCACTGCAATGGGATACAGAGACCCAGGTCTCCTAGCTTGTCTCTCCCATACCTCTATAATGGCTTCCCTAGCCTTCTCTTCTTTCTCTTACACTGCTGCCAGCTTGCTAGAGACCAGATTTAACCATGTCTTCATGCCTGGGTCATGCCAACCTTTGGCAGGTAGGAGGAGATGGAGGATGGCATAGAATTGGTGTGGACACTGGGACCCAGAGCCTTCTAGACTGGGAAGACCAGGGGTGGGCAAGACATCTGTTCCTGGCTTCTAGGTGCATATGGATGATGGAGCCAGCCAGATACTCTTCCCAGGGTGAAGTAAATGCTGAGTGGGCCAGTGTTGACATCCGAATGCCCGGATGTGGTTGCGGGAAGGGAAGTTGTTCACTTGTCACTGTTATCCTGCATGTGTCTGTTTATCTGGGGGCTTCAGTGATATTGCTTCATTGTCTCTGTCACACCAGGTATTAGCTGGGCCGTTGGGCTCCTGTCTCTCTCTTGGTCACATACTTGTCAGTTGGTTCCTACAGAGGCCTTTAGCATATAATTGTGCATGTTTGCAGGGGGTATGCAATGCTGGGTTTAGGGGTCCTTATATTGTAGGCAGCCTGTATCTGGTGCTTGCGTCAGTGGCCCCTGGCAGGAGTGTGGCACTTTGGGTGTGGTTGTGTCCCATAGGATAACATTGCAAGTGGCTGTGTGACGTGTTGTCTACCATGGGCAGCTATAGGTCTGTGCCTGCGTGTAGACACACAACCTGGCACTGGAGAGATTGGAGCATGGATTTGGGAGGGGACACACTAAAGACAGATATACAGATGGATACAGGCTAAGTGTGTGCGCCAGGGTGATGCCAGTGGGGTCTTTGGGAATAGACCGATTGTAAGAGCTATCAGGACACAGGAAATGTCAAAGACCCCATGACAGGGCAGCAGGGTTACAGGTGATCACTACAGGGGGTGCATAATTTTCAGCCCCCCCAGAAAAAAAACACATGGATGCAGTAAACGTGTCCCTCTCAATTCCATCCCCCCCTTCCTTGGCTGAACCTGGGGGGATTGCACTGAGGCATGTTGGGAGCACAAACCGAGGGAGGGGCTCTTTCCAGCTGTTTAGGTGACTTAGGGAGCAGACTCAGGCAGGGTGGGTCTGAAGAGTGACACTCCGGAGAGACTGAACATCCCAGGCTGCAGACTCCAGCGAGACCCAGATCCCCACCTCAGCTTCCTAACCCTAAGGCCTCCCTGTCTCCTGTCCCTAGGGTTTGCTTTCCCAGACTGGGCCTACAAGCCGGAGTCCTCGCCTGGCTCGCGGCAGATCCAGCTGTGGCACTTTATTCTGGAGCTGCTGCAGAAGGAGGAGTACCAGGGCGTCATCGCCTGGCAGGGGGACTACGGGGAATTTGTCATCAAGGACCCGGATGAGGTGGCCCGGCTCTGGGGGGTCCGCAAGTGCAAGCCCCAGATGAACTATGACAAGCTGAGCCGGGCTTTGCGGTGAGGAGGGGCAGTGGGCCCCGGAGGACATGGGGCGTGCCAGTCGCCGT